CCTCCCCCTAGTGGACAGTTTCCGCAGCCGCTGCTCGTCTGCCAGCTCCTGCAGCGAGTTTGAGGATTTCTCGGAGTCGCTCTCCAGAGGGTAAAATTGGACTGGAGGAGGGGATCACTTCGAAGAGGTGCCCTGGGAGACTGGGAATTTTGCAGGGAAATGGGTGATGGAGGGTGGGGGCCTCGAAACCACAAAGGTGGGCGAGGTGGGCGGTACCAAAGACTCCCGCCACTGGTCGCTGACTGCTTCCTTCTCTCAGGGTTCGCTGCCGCCGCCGCGGGAAGCCTCCCAGCCCCATGCCCTGGAGTGGGTCCAATGCGGTGAGTGTCTTTCCTAAGGCCTTGGAGGAGGAAGGGGTAGTGGCAAACCACCAGAAGCCAGCTGCCCCATTTCCCACGATTCTTTCCTGCGGATTGGGTTGCAGAGGCGCCTCTGAAAAGCCCCGGGAACAGGGGTGGTTTGAGACCATCGGGTGGAGAGGAGAATAATGAGGGCACACGTTGCTGTTTAGGCTCTGGCTTCAAATGGTCAGGTCTTAAAACCTGGCTCTTCCTCCTACCAACTGTGTGACTCAAGGTAGTTATTAGCTCCTCTGAACCTCAGTTTTTAAAGTCAGTTAAGTGGGGATGGTACTGGTGTCACCTCAGAGAGCTCTGTGAAGACACATGAAGGTTACTTTGCATATAGTGAGTGCCCTGTAGGTGTCAGACCTCATTTTTCCTGAGGCCCTTAGGTTCAGAAGTGGGATTTGGGGGGAGGGGCGGGAACAGAGGGAAGGTGCCTGAACCCCTTTTCTGCCTTTCATCACTAGAAGTCCACCCCTGTGGAACGTGGCCACCACCAGAGACGTCTGGCCAGCTCGGGAGGCTGGGTCCCTATCAAAGGTGAGCCTGGCCGGGCTCGGTGGCTCAGCCTGTAATTCCAGCACTTTGGGAGGCCAAGGTGAGCGGATTGCCTGAGCCCACAGGTTTGAGAACAGCCTGGGCAACTTAGCAAGACCTCGTCTCTACAGTAAATAAAAAATTAGCTGGGTGTGGTAGCGTGAGCCTGTAGTTCTGGCTACTTGGAAGACTGAGGCAGAAGGATCCCTGGAGCTCTGCAGGTCAACACTGGGGTGGCCATGAGAATGCCACTGCACTCCAGCCTGGGCAATAGAGTGAGACTCCAACTCGGGGTGGTGGGGGGTGGGGGAAAGGTGAGCCTGAAACTCCACTCCTCCTCCCTCTGACCCCAGAACTTGGGACAGTAATGAGGGCAGCTCCCTTGGCTTCTGGCCTTTTGTAACCTCCCACTCCCATGCCTGCCCTCACAGAGTACAGCTCGGACCACCAGGCGGCCGACATGGCCGAAATAGATGCCCGTCTGAAGGCCTTGCAAGAGTACATGAATCGACTGGACACGCGGTCATGACGTGGAGAGGGAGGACTACTCCTCCATCCCCCACCTGCCACTGGGTATGGTGTGGAGGTGGGGCCAGGGGGCCTGCCAGCCCTGCCTAGGCCCTGCCCCTCCTGGTGCTCCTGGGGTCCCAGGTGTGTGAGGCCCCGACCTTGCCCTCTCCTGGGCAGTGCATCCTGGGAGGATACATCCTGGGAGGACACATGCATTTTGTAAATAAACGTATTTGCCCTTGGGACCCCTCAGCTTATGACTGAAGGGTGAGGATGGAGTGGAGAGCATTGAAGATTGTGGGGGTAGAATTGGGACCTGTGGGCTTCGGGGCTGTCCACGAGTGGGAGGCAGATTGGGGTTTGGGCTCAGGAAAAACTTTATACTCTTTAGAGTAGTGCAAGGGAAGGCCTGAAAGGGGGTAGTCAGTAGCCTGTCTCCAGAGGAGTCTAGGCAGAGATTCTGCATGGGCTGTCTTTGGCTGTATGGTGGGATAGGGGTGTCTTACAGCATAGTTTACTGCCTGGGAGGATCCCCATCTGTTGTTGGCGATATCCAGGCTGACTTGGTGCTGATTCCTGGGCTCTGACCTGAGACCTCTGGGTTCTGAGCTGTGATGTTGCCTTTGAGCTGGGATCTCTGGGGTCTTGGTTCAGGGTCGGGGTCTCTGGGTTCTGAGCACCGGTGAGGAGAGTGCTGGGAGGAGGTGGGTGGAAGAGGCTGCTGGCTTGTGGGAGGGAATGGAAGAGGGAGGTGTTTGGCAGGACCTGCCCGGGAACACAGTTTGAGCTGCACCTTTATTGAGGAAGAGGCAGAGTGGGTTGTTTGGCTACGGGAGGGGAGGACGGGGTGCCAAGGAGCAAGGCCTCAGTCCTAGTAGTGTGGCCAATTCTGGATGATTCTGTAGAGCTGGTCACCTGGAGAGAGTGTCTTCTGCACATCCCGGTGTCCTTTGACCTCGTAGTGGGGATCCAGGGCTCCCAGAGCCACCCCACAGGCCAGCAGACTCTTGGCTGCCCGGAGGGCCCGGGCTGGCGGCACTCGCTCTGGGGGAGGCAGAGGCAGAATTTGGGCTGGGGCTTTCTCAGAGGGCAGAGGGAGTGGGTACAGTGTGTGCTCTGAGCTGGACTTAACCTCTTTGTGCCTCAGTTTCCCCTCTGGTGAAAGGAGAGAATAACAGCCCCTACCCATAGGACTGTGGGAGGGTATGTAGAACCCACAGAACGGCCCCTGGCACAGAATGGCCCTTAGCAAGTACTGGCTGCCATGGTGATTCTGGCTTCTCTCTCTGCTCTCTGACCTCGGGGTCCTACCCACAATGAGAGCTGACGTTTGCCAAGCCCTTCTTGGGGGCCATGGACTGGCCTAAGGATGTTTGTGTCAATCACCTAACCCTTCCCTTCACTCTGGTTGAAAATGACCCCATTGGGCAACCTTCTCGGGTCCCTTTCTGCTCCGGGAGCTTTTCTGTCCTCTCAATAAATCCTGCTTTCTTTTTTTTTTTGAGTTGGAGTCTCACTCGGTCACCCAGACTGGAGTGCAGTGGCCGCTCCCGGCCACCTCATTATCGACCTGCTGGGCTCCGGCGATCCTTCCGCCTCAGCCTTCCGAGTAGCCGGAACTACAGGCGCGCGCTACCACGCCCGGCTGATTTTTTGATTTATTGTAGAGATGAGGTCTCGCTGCCCAGGTGGGTCTCGAACCTGCGGGCTCATGCAATCCACTCACCTCAGCCTCCCAAAGGCACGGGATTACAGGCTGAGCCACCGAGCCCGGCTAAATCCTGCTTTCAAAAAAGAAAAAAGAAAATGACTCCATTATCCAAAGGAGGAGGTGAGGCTCAGAAAATGAAGTCACTTGCTCAAGGTCACCATGCTCGTTGGTGGCAGAGCCTCTGACCACCAGCCACCATGCCCTGCCATCCCCAGGTCCCATGCCAGCCCTCTTCCCCACTCACCCATATAGTTGCCCATGAAGCTGATGCCAATGGATATGGGGTTCCAGTTGTTGCCTGTGTGGTCACCCTTGGTGTTCCATCCCCTGCCTTCGTACACCAGCCCATCTTCTCCAATCAGGAAGCTGCATGGGTGAGGGGAGGAGCTTGATGAGTGAGAGAGGGCTTCCTGGGGTGCGGTCCTTTCCCCTGCCTCCACTCATCCCATCCTTGTTCCTGCCACGGCACGCACAGTTTCCTCAACATCCTTCTTGTCATCTCCCCAATTTTTCACATTAAGAACAAAATAAATGACTGTGGCCATTTAAAAAAACTTTTTTTTGACTTGGGGTCTCACTCTGTTGCCCAGGCTGGAGTGCAGTGGCACGTTCACTGCTCACTGCAGCCTCGACTTCCTCAGGCGATCGCTCAGGCGATCCTTTCACTTCAGCCTCCTGAGTAGCTGGGACTACAGGCGCACACCACCATCACACCTGGCTACTTTGTTGATTTTTTTTTTTTTTTAATAGAGATGGGGTCTCACTATGTTGCCCAGGCTGGTGTGGCCATTTACTGAGTCCTTGCTATGTGCCAAGCACAGCTCTACCTGCACCTTTTTTTATGTTCACAGAAATCCTATGAGTCACTACCACCCCCATTATTTATAGAGAGAATCAGAGTGGTGGCGTCACCTGCCTAAGGTCACACAGAGGGTTGGGGCAGAGCCGGGCTTTCCACCCAGGCCTCCCACTCATGTGGTCTTATTCCTTGCTCTCTCCTGCGTTCCTGAAGAACTTGTTGAACCCCTGCTTTGTTGAATCCTTACAGGTTAACCCTCTGAGGTAGAGACTGTTGTCATCCCCATTTTAAGCTGAGGGAACAGAGTCTCAGAAAGTGACGGGATTTGTATAAGATCCTCAGAGACCCCCGCCTCTCAGAATTCACCCCAGCCTGCTTCCTGCCCTCAGGACTCACTCAGGGGATGGTATCAGGGGTTCAAGGTTGAGGTCACAACCTGATACAGACCCTGGAGCCCCAGCCTCTGCCTCTTGGAGGTTTCTGATCCTGGCATTATATCCTTAAGACTCACTCAACACATCTTGACTGAGTGAGTCTGACTGGCACATTGGAGTTAACTAGAAGGTCAGCATCTTGGAGCTACAGTCTCTGCCACCTCAGCCCTCTGACTCAGTGTCATTAACGATGCCCAGAGTGCTGGAGCTTCCGCATCTCGAGTCCTGGATCTGCTACCTAGGAAACCAGCTCACACAATCTGACTTCGAGGGGACTAGAAGTGCCACAGTGATGCTGGCTGCCGGGACCAGTCTGGTTAGGGTCCCACCACATCCCTGGCCCCTGGCATGAGGGGGCAGGGAGGATGCTTGGTGCTCCCTGTTTATTTGTTGCAGGGATGCATCTAATTTGAAACCTCAACCACCATCGCCAAGTGGATGCAGTTAAGAACTCCATTTACAGATGAAGAAATAGGCTTAGAGAATGTGGCTTGACACGGAAAGGGGACTCAGAACGTGAGAATCAGATTCTGAGTCCTAAAAGCCAATAATTAGATTTCAGACTATAAGGTGTTCAGACCAGAGGCTTCGGAGCTGGCTTGGGTCTTCATTACTTCATGGGACGCTTAGAATCAGACACTGAGTCTTAGAAACAAGACTTTGAAGTCAGAGGCTTGGAATGGTAGCACCTTAAGCTGGAAGAGCTGGAGATACCCTTGGATGCATCTAGACTTATCTGAGTGGGGTCTATGGACATGGCCTCTAGGCTGGAATCTGGGTATCTGCGTGTCCAGTAAGCTCTTACCTGCGTCTGAGAACCTATAGAATCCAACGTTCCCTCTCGCTGTGGACACCTCTGGACCCCATGCCCAGGATGCCGATCTGACCGCCCCCGAATCTGTTTCTGCCTCACCCCCTAAATCTGTTCTCCCCACCACAGCCAGAGGGAGCATCTTCTCCCTGAGCCAGCCTGTCCTTCTGCTCAGAATCCCCCCTGTGGCCCCCCCGGGTATTTTGTGCCACTTCCACCCAGCTGTGTCTGCACCTGTGTCCCCAGTGCCCCCTGCTTACCTCATCCCTCCTTCTGGACTATCCTAGAGCCATCTCCAAGCCAGTCTCAATGAGGCCTTCCCTCACCCCATTCTTCAGAGGGCCTGTGTGGGTCTGGCTCCAGCCCCTGAGGTCACCCTCTGTCATCCTGAGCCTTTTGGCCATCACGTCTAGCACCATCTGAATTCATCTTGTTGGCTTGTTTCTCCCTGCTGGTCTATAGACCCCACAGGGCTAGAGTCGCCCTGCCTATGGCTGTGCCTCTGTGCCAGCAGCCAGCTTGCTGCCCGGCACATAGTGGGTGCTAATGGTACCTGGTGGTGAGTGCACGTAGTGGATGCTAATGGTGAGTGTGCATTATAGGTGCTAATGGTGAATGCACATAGTAGGTGCCTGATGGCTAGTGCACACAGTGGGTGCTTGATGGTGAGTGCACATAGTAGGTGCCTGATGGCCATAGCCCATGGCTTTGTGGGCTCCTGCCACACACTGGGCAGCGTTCCAAGTGCTTTGCATTTGTTGGTTCAAGAGGGGGAAGGGGATGCTGAGTGGGCCTGCCCCAGCTGGGAGTGACCTGCCCAGGTCTCAGCTGGCAATGAGCCCAGCATACAGGGAAACCAGCCTGGTGCTTCACAGCCTGGTGTTCTGTGTCCTGACAAAGGCCCTGGTCTTTATGAAGTCCTTCCCAAGTTGTGGAAACACCTTGGTGTGTGTCAGCAGGGCTTGGGCTTCAGCCCTGTCCCCTTCTCACAGCCTCTTGTTCCTCCAGCACCTGCCTGGCCCCCCGTGGTGACCCTGGGGGAGAAATGAAGACCCTGCAAGTTTGACGAGCCACCCAAGGTGTCAGCCGGGAGGCCACACGTGGTCTAGACCATCCCCGCTGGCGCCCCAACCCCTGCACTCACTTGTAGCCCACGTCGCACCAACCCAGCGTCTGCATGTGGTAGTTCTGTACATTCTGGACCTGCTGCTGGCACGAGGCTGGATTGTTGCAGGTGCTGCCTGCTGTGTGCGACACCACCACGTAGTGCACGGGTACGGACAGGCTCTTGTTGCACGTGGTTGCCATGGCTCCCCACTCGTCCCGGGGCACTGTGGTGCTGCAGCAGGCTGGGGCTTCTGACTTCCGTGCTGTGCCTAGTCCGAGGAGGGCAATGAGGGCCCAGGCCAGCAGTGAGTGGCGGCCGGTCATGGCGGCAAGGACTGTAGGAACACTGTAGGAGCCCGCAGCTGGGGCGCCTTATCTCCTGGGGGGAGCAGCAGGAAGGTCTTGCGTCACATCCTGGCAGGACTTCCTGGGCCCGTCGCCCAGGACCCCGGTGCCAGAACAGGATGCCTTGTGGTTGGGGTCTGGTTCAAGTGGAGGGGAGGCTCACGACAAGACCAGAGGGCCTCAGCCAGTGGGGGACACATAGGCCCCTGTGCCCTTCACCCCGAGGTTTCCGGAAGACCCCGGACCTGGATCCTGGCCAGATGCTGTCGCCTCTCAGTGGGACTTTGGACAGCTCAACAGGAACTTACACCAGAGAGAGGCCAGGGCCTTGGCACATTGCCTTTCCCCCAGGGATTGAGGCAACAAAGGTGCCCATTTTTAAGACACTTCCTTCTCTCCGGTCCATGCTAAGCCATTTAAACCTTGCAACAAACCCGGAAGCCCATTTCACAATTGAATAATTGCGGGAGGGGGAAGACAGGTGCTGAGACATGGGTGGGTGTTAGGGGGGCAGCTGTGGGGCCTGGAATCCAGAGTCAGACAGCCTGCGGAGTCTGGCCACCTGGTGTGTGAGCCCCTGCAAGTGATTTCACCTTCCTGTGCCTCAGTTTCCCCCTTCTACCATGTGGGGATGATGATGATTATTATTTTTATTTTTATATTTTGAGTTGGAGTCTCACTCTGTCGCCCAGTACTGGAGTGCAGTGGCCACTCTTGGCCACCGCAGCCTCAACCTGCTGGGCTCCAGCGATCCTTTCGCCTCAGCCTTCCAAGTAGCCGGAATTACAGGCA